CCCGAACGGCCTTCAGAGGGACCGGGTGCGGTCCTCAGTGGGATGGCAGAAAGCACATCCGCAGATCCAGGCCCGTCTGGGACCCTTATTGATTTGCCGCCGGTAGTTTGCCGGTCGGCTGTCTTCTGCACCTTGGATGCAGACTCTTGTTGGGTCGGCGGAGGCCTGACCTGTTTTTGAAGGGACCGGGGCATCTGCTTCCCGTCCTGTAAACGAGAAAAATATAAGTTATGGGATAAAAGGATTGACATAAACGAGAAGGATCAGACGGTTATACCTTCTTCGCCGCCTGGGCAACAAGTTTTTTCTCGAGATTGGCTTTCCGGATGTCGGCAGCCGACCTAGCCGGTGTCTTCTCGGTGGGCAGCATTCTCTTGGCTTCTTCTGCAGAGGAAGGCACACGGTTAGAATAATAAATAAGCAAGGAAATAAAAGCATCCGGTTCGATAGAAACCGGCTGAGTTCCGAATACATACGTTTTTCAAACATGCTGCTTAGACCACAAGCGGACAAGAAGCATTCGTCCCTAAAAAATTCATGTTTGGGCACCCAGTTTCTAGGTACCCTTACTATCTCTCCGGATGAGAGGGTGTCAGGAACTAACTCAAAAAACCCGGAGTCAAGGATGGTCTCTCTATCATCCTCCGGGACAGGGGGCAGGCAGCACTTGGTCCCCAAGAGTTCTGGTTTCCGGTTGTAGATCCGGAATTCTCTGTTCTCTGCCGTAGTTGGGGCCTTAACCAAGTAGAACCGGTGCTTCCAGTCCGACCATTTAGATGGCTTGTCCAAGGTCATAAGGTATTTGGGCTGGGTGGTCAAGGTATACCAGGCTCTCCAGCCGCCTGGGCTCCTACTCAAGTAATGCATGTGGGCAAACGCCTCCCAGCCGGGGTTGAGGCCCTGCATCTCGCAGGCGGCGATATACCCTAAAATATTTACCCATGAGTTGGGGGTTAATTGCCAGAGACCTAGGCCATACCCCCTAAGTATGGCTCTTATTGTGTCGTGGAGAGGGAAGCGGACTCCGGCCACGAAGGCCGCCTCGTAGCACCCGAACCAAGCGTTCGCGTTTGGTTGTCCATCCTCCCACCATATTGTTCCCAGAGCAGCCGGGACCTTTATTGTATAGTCACCTCCCAGCGGCCGCCGTTTGATAAAATCTGGCAGCGCAGCCCGCATGAGCTCGCGGTCCTTGGAGGAGACGGCGATCATGAGAGGATCGTTCCTATTATCCCAAGAAGGCCTCTCCGCCTCCTCGCTATCCTCAGATTCGGTTAAGTAGCTGCTACTGCTACTTTGAACGTGACCGGCATCAGAGCCGGCTGGGGAGTTGGAGACCTCCTTATCAGAGCCTACCTGCTCTCTGGTCTCCTGGAGGGGAGCACTCTCTTCGTTTAAAATGCTATCACCCGGGGTGCTAGGAGCGCCCCGGGTGAGCCTCTCTGCTCTACCTCTCCATGCTCTACTTCACCGCCTGAAGCTGGGACCTCAGGCGGCTGCTCATCTGAGCTCCCACTTCTGTAGTTGGGATCTCTGGCAGTAGACCGGATTCTGGCCATTGTGTCCTGCACAGACACAGAGTCGGTCGATATGGGTGTTGAAAAAGGGTTGTCCCAAAGAACAGAGGCGGCAGACCCAGTTCTAGACTCAGCCGTACTAATAAACCGGCTGAGTTCACAGCTAGGTTCCGGGTATGGGTATAAGGGGTCCATCTACTTATGGGACCAATGAACAAAAATGCGAGTAAAAGACTCAAACGGAAATACATGAAAAAGCTAGAAAGAATAGAGACGGTACCTAGAAGAAAATCTGGAAATTCTCTGGGATGCTTGCGAAGACGCAGGCGGTTCAAAATCCGGCTGGGTTTCTCTGATTACCCTCTCGAAAATCTTTGGCTAGCTTGCAACGACCCAGACGGTCTGCAGACCGGTTGCTCTCAACGAATCTCAACTCCGAATGCTCTCAACTCGCAAATTGCCGGCTGCTCTCAAATCTTCAGAAATTTGGCAAAGTTTGTAAATGAGAGCTCGGGGGACATCTTCTCCTATTTATAGAATTTGTCCCAGAAGGTGAAAAGTCGTGACTCTTCGCCTTCTGCTTTTCCATCCTTCAAAAGGAATCTAAAAAAAAAAAAAAAAAAAAAAAAAAACCTTTCACCGGCGCCACGTGGCACCCTGCCACGTCAGCACCAGTGAGGGGCAAATGTTTGGGGTAAAAATACCCTAAACACGTGGCCCAATGGCCTAGTGACACGTGGCATCCAGACGTTGGTCAGCAGGGCTCCAATCCTCTGCTGACACGTGTCCTCTAAACCCTAAAAGGGGAACCATCTCTTCCCCACTATAAATAGTGGAAGGACCCTCATTAATGGGGGGAACGTTTGTTGATCACATTGAATACTCCTCAAAAGAAACACACTTACCCCGAGCAATATTAATTGCGGAATTCTCCCATTACGCGAGAAGTAACTTCCACATTACGTGCATTCTACCTCCCGTATCTTTACTAATTTGATCGTCGGAGGCGGAGCTCCTACCCCCAGGAGTCTTCGTGATTTTGTAGGCACAGGCGTCGAAGGGCATTGTTGGAATCGTAACTCTCCCGCAGGACACATCAAAAAACCCCGAAACAAGCCCCATCCAACTACACCATTATCGAACCCATATTATGGACCAACCAAACTAGATTGACTGTTTTCTTAAAATAAAGTTTTCAAAAACAGGGAGAAGAGAAAAGAAATAAAAACTTTCCGCAACATTAGACCTTCCACACTTTCGTTTCATTCGATTATGATTCGACGTGAAAGGTACTCATCACCGGGTTTGGTTTTGGGGAGACACAAATGGGTGTCTACAGTCTCTTTTACCCCCGCAGTTTTTTATTTCTGTTTTTGTTGAATACTGTTCTTCCTTTGTTGCCCTCATTTTTTTGCACATGGAGTTGTCAGCTTAGAAACTCAGTGGTTTCTCTCTCCTCTCGAATCATCTGTATACCTCCTTTTTCTCCTTCCTTCCTTCGCGAGATCGCCGTCAATCTATCAAAAAGGGTTAGAGAAACGCTCAAAACCCTCCTTTCTAAACGCGCACCACCACAACACACCACTGCACATCCATTCTTTATTGAACGAACTGACGTCGATTTGATTGGTCAGCTTATGTAGTGCAAGCCTCTTTCCGAACAAGAGGTTTTCATTCTTTCTCTTTCTTCAATGTGAATGTGCTTGATCCATTTGTTTTCTTTACATCTATTTGTGTTCCTTTTCAATCCAGCTTGTTAATTTTGGGATTTTTGTTTTGTTTTTGAGGGTTTCTGGTACATGAAAATGTGTGAAAGTTGCAATATTTGTTCTGGGTTTGTTGATTATTTATTATTTTTTCAATTGAATTAGTTCTGCTGATTTTCTTCTATATTAACCCTCAATTTGTGTAGAAAGTTTGGATTTTCTTCTATATTAACCCTCAATTGTTCGTCAATCTTTTGTACTCCATAATTTTTATTTGGATTTGTAATGATTTTAATGAGTGTTATTATGTGTTTGTTGATGATTTATTAATTTTAATTTTGTTTTTGTGCATTAGATTTTTGTAATTTTCAAGAGTTCGGGGTTTTCGTCTTCAAGCTCCCTTCCTATGGATTCGAAGTCGCCGTTTTTTGGGGTTTCCTATGGATTTAATAGGGCCAGCCTTTAATTTCATTTCCATTTTCTTAATTTTTTATCTGACTTTTGATTTTAATCTTTCGTTCTTTTCATCGTTTTATTTTTCAGGACGATGAGCTACGGAAACAGTTCGAGGCTACACAAAATGACTGGTAGATATTCATCTTTTTGAATTTGTACTACAATTTTTTTGTGTGCTATTGGTGTGCTTATGTTGCTCATTCTTTAAGAACTGAAAATCGATGTCACATGCTTAGAGTTCAGAACTTCAGACTCCCCGAGTAAAACATTGTAACTTTTATGTGTGTTGATTACTCTATTTCTATTTGAGTATATTTTGTGCGATTGCGCCTATAGCTTAAGTGCTTGTTTTATTTAAAAACTTCTATAAATCAGAATTTTCATATAACTAATGAGGAACATTTTGTTACTTCTACCAAGCATATAAGCCAGGGTTGTGAAATTTTGGTGCCATGATTCAGTTTTACCTTCCCCCAAACCCCAAGATTGGTAGTTGTCTTGTTGGTTTCCTGCTTTGTGATTTTGCTAGCTTGAAATTATTTGGAGATTTATTGATCATTGTTTTGCCTTTCCAGTTCTGGAATTAGAGGTACCAACCCTGGAATATCTACCTTTTCTCCGATATGTGCTGCTATTCTGCTAAGGTATTGCTGATTTTAATTATTACTCTGTTATGGTCATCAAATAGCTTTGTCGATATTGCCAGCAGCAACCTGATAATTCAACACATTTGTCAAACCTTAGAGAATTTGTGGATATGCGTAATATGTGGTTTTGTGGGTTGTGGAAAGTAATAACTCTTTCTGTTATGAGAAAATTTTGCATTGTATAACGACTATAACCCCGAGTTTCAACTTTCAAGTAGCTAATGCTAAGAAACTGCTATCATTATTCAAATGGCCAAAGGAATGTCAAGAAAAAAAAATCAAAATAAAAACATCAAACAATATATGTAATATACCTGTCAAATAGACAAGATATTCTAATTGTTAATTTTTTGACCAGGAAGCATTTAATCCAGGTATAAAGAGGGCCATGCTATTATGCATTGGAAAGAAACACAACATTGTTATTCCCTGGACTTGGAAACTAGGCATGTTTGGGACTATGTTGGTGACAACTATGTTGCACTGTTTAATACGTTCCTTGTTCATGTGCTATGCATGGCTGTGGAAGCTGTGAATGTAGTGGGGATCCTGGAATAAACGATGCTATTGTAAATAGTAAAGTTGAAGCTGTATGTTTTTTTTTTTTAATTTTCTTAATTTAAAGCTATAGATCTTTGGTTTGTTGCAGCAAGTAATTCATTATTGATGGTTAGGTGGTGGTGGTAGTAGCCGAGGAAGAAGGCAAAGGCCGGGAGAGGATGTAGTTCATCCTCTGAAGGTATCACTTGAAGATCTCTTTACTGGGACGACAAAGAAGCTCTCCCTCTCTCGTAATGTAATATGTTTGAAGTGTACTGGGTAAGTATATATATGATTTGTTTTCAGAGCTTTGTCTCCCATTTGTTGATCCATTCCTAACTTAATTGTTATTTATACATGTAACAGCAAAGTATCAAAATCTGGAGTTTCCATGAAGTGTTCTGGATGTCAAGGTACTGGTATGAAGGTGTCTATTATTAGACATCTGGGCCCCTCAATGAGACAGCAAATGCAGCACCCTTGCAATGAATGCAAAGGGACTGGAGAGACAATTAATGACAAATATCGGTGCCCTCAATGCAAAGGTGAGAAGGTTGTGCAGGAGAAGAAGGTCTTAGAGGTTGTTGTGGAGAAGGGCATGCAACATGGACAGAAAATTACTTTCCCTGGAGAGGCTGATGAAGCTGTATGTCATAAACCTCTCTTTGTTGTTGGTTTGATACAGTTTGTATAGGTTGTTGGCTGATAGGCTTACGCCTTTTCTCTATTTATCTGCAGCCTGATACTGTCACCGGAGATATCGTCTTTGTCCTGGAGCAGAAAGATCGTCCTAAATTCAAGAGAAAGGGCGAATATCTCTTTTATGAGCATACTCTGAGCCTGACTAAAGCTCTTTGTGGCTTTAGATTTGTGCTGACCCACCTTGATGGAAGGCAACTTCTTATCAAATATTCAAGTTTGTATCTTGTTGGAAATATTCAAGTTTATTCGACCTGAGCATTTTGAATTTTAGTAGAATGACAATATTTCAATTTTGATCATCCCAAATCACTACTAAATGTGCATCTTTTTTTGTTGGTATGTCCGAGCAGATCAATTCAAGGCAATTGATGATGAGGGTATGTCAATTTACCAGAGGCCATTCATGAAGGGCAAGATGTACATCTATTTCACAGTGGAGTTCGCCGATTCTTTTAACCCTGATCAGGTTAAAGCATTGGAAGCGATCCTTCCACCTAAGCCATCGATGGCTCTCACTGTAGTTTTCTCCTTTGTACCGTGGGTGGAGTTTGAGGTTGAATTCTGTTGAGTATTTGTGTGATAAATGAAGAAGTAAGACTAATATAAAATTCTTCTTATTCTCAGGTTAATTTTTGATTTTTTTTAAAAAAATATAATTTTATGTTGTTTAGGAGTTTGATTATTATGTTATAAATTTTATAATTTTGTTGATTATTGCGTTATTATCCATTTCAAAATTTCAAGTTTGGAGGAACCCCTCAGATTTGATAATCTGTTGAGCAGGTGCATCACATCAAACAGATGTAAGTCAGTGAGCTTCGAGCTTTTTCATAATCTTATATCATATGATGATATGAATGTTTTTGGGGAGATTTCCTCATTTGATTTGTCTTTTGAGATATTGCAGAACAATCTAAGCTCTTTCTCTGAAAGTTATAATATAAATTATACATCACATGCTTGCCTAAAGATAGTTAATTCCAGTCAAATCATACAAGATAGAAAACATGATAACAAATTGTCGGCAGAGTAACAGTATTGAAGAATTTTAATTTAGGATGTGATAATTATAATTTAAGCAGTTCACATTTTTAATTAATGAACTGTTTTTTGAGCTTACAAAAAATTATTGCTATTAAATTGAGAATTGAAGGAAAAAGCTTAAAGTCTCTTCCATACTTAAGACTGTTGTAGTTGCGAATTTAAATACTCTTGTCCAAAATGCCCAGCTTGTTCAGGGTTATGCAATTGTTCTTGTCCCAAATGCCCAACATGTTCAGGATTATGCAATTGCTTGTCTTATTTGCTTTGCATGTTAAGAAATTCGCAAATCTTGTTTCAGTTGCTTTACGTGAGATTATGAGATGAGAGCTTCTCTGGCTCTCAATTTAAATGACCTTTTGGTGCTTCTCGAGGAGAATCATGAGTGCTCTTTCCATAATCGTCAGAACAATGTCAATTTTAAACGACCTTTTGGTTCTATCAGGTTTGTTTGTGTTGATTTAGTTTTTTCACCTTTGTTTTTTTTATTATTTCTTTTTGATTATTTGTGTTACACAGTTAGTTATACATGTTTTTTTATCTGATTGATGATTGTCTAAGGTGTTTGCGGTGGAATAAAAACATGGGTTAATGTAATTATTTCTACGGAGCTTCCATATATCTTATATTCTATTGGTCTAGGCTTTCAGCTGTTACCTTGTTCTTAGTGAAGTTGGCAAACCATCACTACATTTCAAGAGACGGTTGCAGTCAACTGACATTTTTGTGGAGCGGAAAATTATTCTAGAAGCTTCTGATGGCCTATAAAAGGCTCAAGTATATTCATCTTCTCTGTTTTTCTACCCTAAAATGGCCATCGACAATAATTATGACAGTAGTTTGTCAATATAATTAGCCCTTGAAAAATTACTGTTATATGCCTTGTCATATTGTTACTGGAAAGGTTATATTGATATTAACCTTATATGTTTTAGTTACTTTTTTGGGTTAGTTGAGTTTTGATTTGTTTAAAAGAATAATTTAGAATTTTGGGTTCAGATTTTAGTACGATAAGGGGTGTTAAGCAGCAATGGTGAAGTCGGGGTCTCTGTCTTTCACCTTTTAGGGTTTAGGGTATAGTAAGATCAAGGGTTTATGATGGGTTTTGTTTTGGGTTTGTAGCTTGAAGACAAGGAGATGCTTCTGCCCCATTCTAAGGTTGAGTATTACTTCTATTACCACAAGAGGTCGGGTTTGGTTGGGTAGGCTAACTGGTTGTGGCTGGGAAGCTTGACAGAAGATGGGTTTCTAATAAGGAGAACTTGGATTAGTAGCTACTTTGATATTATAGGTTCGTGTCTGTTATTTGTCTATTTGCTCATGGATCATGATTACTTGGGGATGCTTTTGATATTATAGGTTCTTGTTTATTATTGGAGATGCTTTTGTGTTGATAAGCTAAGCTCCTTTTATTTGCATCTCTTTGATATTTGCAGTTTGCCTTGCATTATTCATGGTCGACTAAGTTGGGTGTATAGTGAGATTTGTCAAATATTTGAGCATTGCTTCGACCAAGTGGCATCTTAATTTGAACAATGCCTGAAGCCAATGCTACTGTCTAGAAGTTCAGAGAAGCTTTCCTATGTGTGTTATTAATTTTTACATTACCGGAATTCAGACCTTAAAGAAAATCAGGAATGTTTGGCTTGTAACACAGGAATTTCTTATGTATGTTTATATTAATTATGCAAAGCCAAACCACTGGATTCCTTTCATTTAAATGTCATGGCTAATATGATCATCTCATCCCCTCCCCTAAAAAACATTTGTCAAACGCTATGTTTTATGATCGATAGACGGCCATTTTAAAGCTCATTTGTAAAATATGAGTGTTTGACCATTTTTGGGGCCTCCTACTACGGGTCTTCAAGGTAAGACTTAGGGCCTGTTCCGATTGACTGAACTCAGCTCAACTGAGCTGAACTGAACTGAACTTATTAATTAGTGATTTTTAACTACGGATTAGTGATCTTTGATTATTTATTGATTATTTAATACTATACATATGTGTATATACAAATGTACATATTAAAATATTTACAAAAAATATACTATATAATTATAAAATTTATGGAAAATATATTAAAAACTTGAAACCTCTAAACATTTTAAACACATATACTATTTAATTTAAAAATAAAATAGTATTATGACAAAAGAACAAAAAACAGTTACATGTATCTAACCTATTTTAACAATGAATTGTATCAATATTATTATTATTATTATTATTATTATTGATGATGATTATTATATTATTATTTATTGATTATTATTATTGTTATTATTATTATTATTATTATTTTTATTATTATTATTATTATTATTATTATTATTATTTATTGATTATTGTTATTAGTATTATTATTTCAATTATTATTATTATTATTATTATTATTATTATTATTATTATTATTATTATTATTATTATTATTATTATTATTATTATTATTATTATTATCGTTGTTGTTGTTGTTGTTGCAACTATTATGTAATGGAGGTAGTATGTTTGATCTTGTGAGGATTAATGAGCTTATTCCCTTTTAATCTATACAAATTCATATAGACTTCAAATTTTAGTTGCAATTTTAGAATATTTTATTTCTCATAGTTGCAACTATTATGTAACGGAGGTAGTATATATGTTTGATCTTGTAAGAATTAATGAGCTTATTCCTTCTTAATCTATACAAATTCATATAGACTTCAAATTTTATTTATATGTTAAGAATAATAAGCTTTGTTATAATTTAATCAATTGAGAATACAAACAATAGATGATATAAACAAGAACTCTAGATTGAATAATGTTATCACCCATATCATAAGAAAATATATTAAGAGTCTTTATTCAATTTTGCTAAGAAGATTTTGACATAAACATTTATGAAATAGCTCTTTTAATTTAAAAATACAAGAATTATAGTCATCCTTCTAACTTCTCTTCCCTAATTAACTAAATTTAAAAGGGGGGCGGGAGAAAAAAAAAAAGGCAAGAAAAATAAAGGGGCCAAGGGAAAGAGTGGGGTTGGGAGAGAGATAAAGAGCAAGCTAAAAGAGAGAGAGGAGAGGGCAAGCCGGGAGAGGAAAGGGTTTTAGAGAAAAAAAGAAAGAGGGACCAGAAGAGAGAGAGACAGATTAATAAAGAAAAACTAGGACTGGGAGAGGGAGGGAGATATATTAGAGTGATAAAGAGAGAGATGTGTTGAGGGAAAAAGAAAGAAATGGAGGTCGGAAGAAAGGGGGAGATAGAGAGAAACTAAGAAATATAAAAGGGAAAAAGAGAAACTAAGAAATATAAAAAGGGTTGGGGGAAGGGGCTATGGAGATAGGGATCAAGTGCAACCTATAATTGTCAAATCCTTTTAGAGGATGAAATAAGGGCATGAGAGATTGGAAATTTTTATAGCCTTTTATAGTGTTCAAAGCCTTTTAAAAGATGGAACAAGGACAAGTCATCTTAATAGTAGCACATTTAACATAAAAGTTAAACATTATGTTAGAATTGTGTTAGATTCATGAGTAAGTGCTTTTTTATGTGTGTACAACCACAGTGAGAGAAGGAGAGAAAGAGAAAGATAAAGATAGAGGAGGAGAGGTAGGGGAGAAGGAGAGAAAGGGAAAGGGAGGTAGAGAAACAAGGGTCAAAAGAGAGAGAAAAAGGAACTAGGAAAACGGAGGGTTTAAGAGAGAGACAAAGAAGGACTGAGAAATAGGGCAGGCCGAAAGACAGAGATACCAGTTCAAAAGAGAGAGGAGGTAGGCCAGAAGAAGAGATAAAGGCTGGGAGGAAAAGAGTTAGAAAAATGGGAGAGATAGATTTATGGTTATGAAGGAAAGAGGATGAGATAGAGAGAGACAAAAATAAATAAATAAATAAATAAATAAATAAATAGGGACAAAAGTTACTTGTTCAAGGGATATTTAAGGAGTTAGGTTAGGGGTTACTTGAGAGTTCAGTCAACGGTAATTTGAGGGGCACTCAATCAGGGGTTACTTGAGGGGTTCGGTCATGGATTACTCGAGGGGTTATTTGGTCATGGGTTACTTAATAAGGAGTAACTCAAGTAATTAAATCCTAACCAAGAAACTTGAGTAGGCCTAGCAACTCGAGTAACCCTTGACCGAGAAACTCGAGTAACCCCGACAACTCGAGTAATCCAATACCGAGAAACTCAAGTAACCTTGCTGCACGGTACAACAGGCTACATACAAAAATTTGTGAGTTTTATAATATAAAGTATAGTTTGTGGGATATATTTATTTGTTCATAGAAGAAAGAAATGATAGAAAAAAATAAAAAGTGTAAACAGGGTTGGTTTGAGAGAAATAATAAAATAGTTGTGATGGACTCTTATCAAAGCAAGTAGTGTTGCAATTATTATGGAACGAACTGTGACAGGGGTTACTTGAATTATTTTGTTAGGGGTTACCCGAGTTATTTAGTACGTCATGGGTTACTCGAGTTACTCGGTCAGGGGTTATTTGTCAGGTTAGGGCAAGGACTACTCGAGGGGTTCACTCAGTCAAGGGTTACTTGATGGGTTACTTGATCAGGGGTTACTCGAGGGGTTTACTTGGTCAAGGGTTACTCGAGGCTTAACTTGGTCAAGGGTTACTTGAGGGGTTACTCGGTCAGTCAGTCAAGGGTTACTTGAGGGGTTACTCGGTCATGGGTTACTTGAGGGTTTACTCGATAAGGAGTAACTCAATCGAGGGGTTACTCGGTCATGGGTTACTCGAGCTACTTGAGCAATGGTTACTCAAGTTACTTGGTTAGGGGTTATTTAAGGAGTTCAGCCAGGGGTTACTTGAGGGTTCAGTCAGGGGTTAGTTGAGGGGTTACTTAATCAGGGGTTACTTGATGGGGAGAGGTTACTCAGTAAAGGGGTCACTCGAGGGTTTCAACCGTGGATTACTTTGGGGTTACTCATTCAGGGGTTACTTGAGGGTTTACTCGATAAGGAGTAACTCAAATCGTAACCCCTAACCAAATAACTTGAGTAACCCCAACAACTCGAGTAACCATTGACCGAGAAACTCGAGTAACCCCGGCAACTCAAGTAAATCCATACTGAGAAACTCAAGTAACCCTTACTGCACGGTGCAACATGCTTTATATGTTTGCATGAGAAAAAATAATAATAAAAAAAAGTGTAAATGGGGTTAGTCAGAGAGAAAAAATAAAATAGTTGTGGACTCTTGCCAAAGAAAATAGTGTTGCAATTATTAAGAAACGAATTGTGGCAGGGGTTACATGAGTTATTTTGTTAGGGGTTACCCGAGTTATTTAGTCTGAGGTTACTCGAGTTACTCGGTCAAAGGTTACTTGAGGGGTTGGGACTAGAGTTACTTGAGGGGTTTACCCTATCAGGGGTTACTTGAGGGGTTTACCCTATCAGGGGTTACTTGAGGGATTACTCGAGGGGTACACTTGGCCAAGGGTTATTAGGGGTTATTCGTTCAGGGGTTACTCGATATAAGGAGTAACTCAAGTAACACTTGGCCAAGTAACTCGAGTAACCCCAGCAATTCGAGTAACCCCTGACCGAGAAACTCGAGTAACCCGACAACTCGAGTAATCTAATACCAAGAAACTCGAGTAACCCTTGTTTGCACGGTACAATAGGCTACATAGAAAAATTTGTGATTTTATAATATAAAGTATAAGTGGTGGGATATATTTATTTGTTCGTATGAGAGAAAAATAATTTAAAAAAAAAGTGTAAATGGGGTTGGTCAAAGAGAAAAAATAAAATAGTCATGGCCTCTTACCAAAAAAAAAAAGTAGTGTTACAATTATTACGAAATGAACTGTGGCGGGGTTATTTGAGTTAGGGATTATCCGAGTTACTTGGTCAGGGTTTACACTTGAAGGGTTTGGACAAGGGTTACCCAAAGAGTTCACTTGGTCAAGGGTTACTTGCGGGGTTCGGACAAGGGTTACTCGAGGGGTTCACTTGGTCAAGGATTCACTTGAGGGCGAGTTTATCCCCAGACCCGGACCCAGACTTCAAACTATGCCACATCAGCTTTTCACTAACTTTAAAATACTTTTATATTATTCAGATTCATACAAGACTTTCTCCAAATTTACACATTATCCAAGACTCACTCCAAACTCATATAATCATTTTCAAAATATTTTTATTTTTTTGTAAAATAATCTTTTTTTTTATTTTTTTAAAAATTATTGTAAACTTTTGGTTGGTGAGGTGGCTAATTTTCATTGGGCGTGCAAAGTCTTGACATGGGTTTGGATTTTCCAAACTCCATGTAAGACTCACATGAGTCTTAGATGAGTTTATTGTAAGAATCTTGAGTAAGACCCATGTTGAGACTTTGCTCAATACTTGCAATAAACTTACCCTGAGGGGTTGCTTGGTCAGGGGCTACTCGAGTTACTTAATCAAGGGTTACTCGAGTTCTACTCAGTCAGTGGTTACCCGAGTTACTCGGTCAAGGGTTATATAAGGAGTTAGGTTAGGGGTTAATCAATCAAGGGTTAATTGACGGGGAGAGGCTACTTGGTTAGGGGTTACTCGAGGGGTGCAGTTATGATTACTCGAGGGGTTACTCGGTCACGGGTTACTCGATAAGGAGTAACCGAAGTAACTCATAACCAAGTAACTTGAGTAACCCATGACCTCGAAACTCGAGTAACCTCGAAACTCGAGTAATCTCATACCAAGAAACTCGAGAAAACCCTTGTTGC